GAGAGAGAGAGAGAGAGAGAGAGAGAGAGAGAGAGAGAGAGAGAGAGAGAGAGAGAGAGAGAGAGAGAGAGAGAGAGAGAGAGAGAGAGAGAGAGAGAGAGAGAGAGAGAGAGAGAGAGAGAGAGAGAGAGAGAGAAGAGAGAGAGAAGAAAGAGAATGAAGAGAAAGAGAGAGAGGGAAGGGGAGAGATAGAAAAGAAGACTAAGAAAGAAAGCAAATTCTGCAGAACCTCAGAGGTCAGAATGTTGAAGCAAAGGAGGCCAAGAAGTGAAAGCAAACTTTATAGGTGGTATGTTAATCACAACAGAGAAGCAATTACTTAACGCTTGGGAATAATCGCCAATTTCCGAAGACAGAAAGACGAAGGAGGGTTGCAGTTGTCCAATGAAGGAATCTGCCCTAGATCATGAGACACTACAAATAGATACACGGTTGAATAAATAGATAGAATGACGGTCGTCCCACCAACACAGTAAAGTGAAGAAGGTCGTTTTGCTAATGCAGAACTGAGAAAGTCGTGTTTGGGCAACGCAAGTCGTATTAAACCGTAATCAGTGACATATCACATCAAGGAGAAATGATTCCAAAAATGAAAGCCAAGTATTTGGTTATGCACGTAAAAAGAATTGCGTGTTTACGTGTACTTTTGTCTATGTCTGAGAATTTAGAGAGGGTCTCGCATATGTATACAAACGCAGGTGAACATAAAAAAAAGCTTTCTCATACAGATGAATATGACAAGTCAAGAATCAACGGCTTAGACTTTGCGTTGCCAATGCGTCGTCCACAGGTTTGACGGTGGTTGATAGGCCTATAATAACGAGGTGGCTCCTCCTTATTGCACGAGCAAAGTCTAATAACTTCCAGCCTTATATTCGCTCAGGGTTTTTGGGTTGACTATAGATTTGGGGGTTCTGTTTACCCATGCACAGGAATTATCAATCAGTGAATAGAGAAAAAAAATGAAAAAAAGTATCAACTTTTCAACTATGCTTATCAGTCATGCAATTTTACTTATTTACTGATCGCGATATATATCTCGAAGATAGTTTATTCTCAATAAGAAATGTATATATATCGCAAAATAAAATATCTAAAATCATATCTCCCTTTCTATGTGTTAAGGCAAGATAAGGTTTATAATGAACTTTTATAGAAAAAAAAATAAAAAAGATACAATGAATCTTAACTACTCAACTGACAACCAAAAAAATAAATATACTACTTTACTTGAAAAAAAATCAAAACAAAACAAAAGAACAAAAATAAATATAGAGATATTTCAGTTCAACATATGATATAAATATAAAGAAACTTACTTCTCTCTGTCCGGCAGACTTCCAGCACCGTTGACTAAGTAAGCAGAAGGGAGGGAAAAAGATTCAGTTTTTTAGATTTTCTGGTGGCAGCTGAACCCTCGGGTGAGGTTGTGTGTGGGGAGGGTTGAGGGGGAGGGGGGAGGGGATGCCCCTAACGCTACTACAAACATGTTTTAATGTTTGTTCTTTGGCCGTGTTTAAGGCTGTTTATGTCTGGTTCTCACTGTGTGATTGTTAGTCTGCAAAATATTAACACTGCCCACACCACGTCACCTTTTATTTCTTATTATCATTGATTACTCATTTTAGTTAAAGCTTCATATGTATCAGCGGTTCAGATATATGAAAGACAAAAAAATCATCCCGCTGAGTAATTGAATATGTATACATACATATACATATACATATACATATATATATATATATAATATATATATATATATATATATATATATATATATATATATATATATATATATATATATATATAGTATATATATATATATATATATATATGTAAATAAGTCAAATAAAAGAATACCTTAATTTCTGATAGATATAAAGCTCCTGTCTAAATTGTGCCCCAATTTACCTGTGGGAGGAAGGGGTTGTGCGAAAGGTGTGTGACGTGCTGTGGGTATTATTATTTTGTTCATTCTATATAGTTCCTGGTCTATAACTATCTACACACACCATTCATCATGCAAAAAACTATAGGTCGGTGCTCTAAACAAACACAGTTATACAAACTTATAAAACTAACCCCAGGAGTAATAGATATATTACACTTATGATTATACATATATACACGCATAGCAAAATTTCATGGTAATTGTAAAATTAGCTTTGTTCATCTAGCTCAACTCCTGAAGTTGTCCAAATGTCATATAATGTGACATAGCTGGTAAATTTATTTCTGTTGATAGTACAAAAGTGATAATGTGTTTACACCAATTTTATAACATGCAGTGGTATGAATTTTTATGTGCATCATTATATATTTACCATATCCAGGTATGTCATATATGTATATATGGTACGTGTTGTATTAAAAACAAATATTCCTGGACGTACAAGAGTTACTTCCCATTTTCTTGTTTTACAAAGCAAAACTAAAGAAGCTGGGTCTCTAACACAAAGGAAAACGGATTAAGCTCCGTCAGATTCGAGGGGGTACTCACATTTTCCGACTTGTCTTTGTCTACGGCAAATAACGATGATGGCGACGCATATGATGAGGACCAGGACGACGACGGCAGCGACGATGGCGGATATGGTGATGATCTTGTCATTTCCGAGCTTCTCAATGATGCCTGCGACACCTTTTTATTGTAGGAGCGTACATGAAGGGAATTTGTATTAGTAGCAGTTAGAAAGCAATTTAAGACGTAGATGATAGGCCAACCTCAGCTGTGATCTTATCTGAATGTTAAGAGCCACATGCAAAATTAGATTCTAAAAGCTTTTTACGATATACAGTATGGGTAATCATCTTTTACATCTCTTTAAACATAAGCAAATTTATCACTTAGTGTGCATGCCTGCTTATAACACACACATTTGTTTTCTTTAGCTAGCTAGGGCCTCCGCTGACTTTCAGTTTATATAGGGGTATTATGTTAAAGTGACAAAGCAGGCTAAAAAAGCCAAAAAATAGTGGGGGGGGGGGCATGTTAGTGTTTACTTGGGGCTGCGCATTAAAACAGGAAGCATTTGGCCTTTGGCATTAATAAATTTCGCAGGGGGGGGGTTACATTCATAGAATCTGCAAGCATTTTTCATGAATATTAATCCCTAAGTCAAAGGCTCGATAACGTTTACTCTACGATTTAATTGCAATGATGATATGAGTTCATGTTTGCCCTTTTTCATCTGATAGAATACTAAATATTAATGGCACTACGTTTAATTCATTTGTCATACATCAAGTACATTGTGGTACTATTTAGGCATTCAAATCATTTAGGTATTTAAATTACCCTTCAAAATTCGAAAATAAAGTACGATCATTCTAGACTTTTCTCACTGACAATGCACTAAACATAATTAACTCGTGACGTTATCTATCTCCTTTCCCTTTTATTCCCCTCTTCTCATAACCGTGATCCTCCATCCTCACCTGTTACGTCGATCTCGCAGGGGATGCTCTCGCCGATGGTGTTATTGACGTAACAGTAATAGGTTCCTCGGGATTCCGCCGTGGCGGGGAGGCGCAGGAAGGACGTGAGGCCCTTGGACGTCACGTGGTCTGTCAGGGTCTCGTTCAATAGGCGCCATCTGCGGCGGAGGACATTTTGGCTTTGGGGAACAGAGCGCCTTTGTCGAGTTTGATTAACTCTCTTAATATGTAATTTGATGTAAAGATGGGTTGTGCACACACACACAAGCACGAACACATGCAGGCACGCGCAGACACGCATGCACGCACACACACACGCGCGCGTGCACACACACACACACGCACATACCCGCACGCACACACAGGCACATACCGCACGCACACACACAGGCACACCACACACACACACACCACACACACACACACACACACACACACACACACACACACACACACACACACACACACACCATACACACACACACACACACACACACACACACACACACACACACACACACACACACACACACACACACACACGCACACACACACACACACACACACGCACACACACACACACACACACACACAACACACACACACACACACACACACAACACACACATTACATACATATATATATATATATATATATATATATATATATATATATTATATATATATATATATATATATATATATATAACTCCGTCTATGGCCAAGCAGTATATGGGATGAACGGCACAGCCCTCTGCATCAAGTGCAAGAGGGGGAATATACAAAGTGAGAAGGCAAGTGAGGAACGCCTTTGTAAGCTGTACACAAAGGAGAGAGAATTGCCTCCCCTGCCCACACCTGCCGCCTCCAGTAATGAAACATGGCGCTGCACTACCGCAGACTTGTTGCCAGGCTAAACCCTACAATCTCCATATAAGAGGAAGGCATTAATGAGATGAATAGGTAATTCGATACTTATTTCAGATATGCGCGTCGATAAGCATATATTTTCTCTCTCTTTTAATCTCATTTTCTAAGTATATCTCTCTCTCTCTCTCTTCTTTATTTCTTTATCGCACTCTGTCTCTCTCTCTCTTCTTTCTTTCTTTCTCTCTTCTCATCTCTCTTCTTCTTTCTTTTCTTTTCCTCTTCTCTCTCTTTCTCTTTCACCTCTCTTTCCTCTCTCTCTCTCTCTCTCTCTCTCTCTCTCTCTCTCTCTCTCTCTCTCTCTCTCTCTCTCTCTCTCTCTCTCTCTCTCTCTCTCTTCCTCTCCTCCCTTTCCCTCTCCCTCCTTACACTTTCTCTCTATTCTTTCTCTTATCAAACACACATATCATTATCATCATCTCTTAATCAACAACTTTGTTCCCCGACCAATAGTTAAAAAGGCGAGTGTTTAATCGAAGCCAATCACGCAACCACACATATTTGATCGTCTCATAACTGAGAAGCAGATGGGACAAAATTGCTTTTTAAAAATTCAGAACACATAATATGAAGACTTGGAAATGTCACACGAGACTATGAATATTAATTAGACCCTTTTGAGATAGAGAGAGAGTGACGGGGTAGAAAAGGATAGAGGGCGGAGGTGGCATATAGAGGGAAAGGTCATCAAGATTGAGAAATAATTGTTTCTCTATCCATTTTGAACCCTCCATCACTCCACTCACTAATCTATCCACCCATCGACCTATCCCTACCATGCCATCACTACACCATCTATCCACTTCTCATTCCGTCGGCCCTTCCATCCATCCTTCTATCCATATTAACGGGCAATTCACTGATTCACCTTTAAGTACATATCCCTCCTACAATTTATTAAGCATTCGCTCTATCCAACATCTATCCACACACCCATATATCCCTCCTTTGTCTCACCACTCCATCCACCTGCCCATCCATCCATCTATCCACTCCTTTATCACTCCCACCTATCCACCCCTCCATCCACCTACTCATCAACCCAACCCATCCATCCATCACTCCAACACTCCATCCACCCCACCACCCCCTACCAACCCATCTTCCCATCCCTCCACCCGTCTATCCGTCCACCCGTCTATCCCTCGTCCACTCACCTGAAAACGACATCCTCGGGGTTGGCGGAGGCTCGGCAGATGAGCAGAATCTCAGCATCTTCGCCGCTTCCTCGGTCTTCTCGGTCGATCTTGCATTCTGGTTTGACTAGAGAGAGGGAAAAAATGAAAAAAAAATGTTCCTCAATTCTTCTTGTTTGTTATCATTATTATCTTAATCTATTATGATATTCCGAGTTCATTATATAAATATATATATATATATATATATATATATATATATATATATATATATATATATTGTTGATATTCATAATGAAACTGTACTTGCTGGAAATATATCTCATTATTAGATTAGCGTTGTTGTTGTTGTGTTTAATTGTTGTTTATCATTATTTTTTTGTAGGTGACATCATTCCTGTTATTGTTAGTAAGGTTATTACTGTTAGTAGTGGTGAAAAAATAACATATTATATCATCATTATGAATATTACAGCTGCTTTCCCATTATCCCTTCATTTAGCTTTGCAATCGTTATGAAGATTATATACATGTCCTCATTGAAGAATATTGATTTGCAATCATGAAGAAATAGAAATATACTGATACCTCCTTCTAATATTACAATGTTAATATCTTTATAAATATCTTTATCATTAATACATCATCATTGTTATCAATACATTTATCATTATTATTTTTATTATTACTATTATTATTACTATTATTATTATAATTAGTGTTATTATTATTATTATCACCATCATTATTATTATTATCATTATTGTCATTATCATTATTATTGTTATTGTTATCATTATTATTATCATTATTATTGCTATCACTATTACTACTTCTACTACTACTATTACCATTACTACTACTACTGTTACTACTGCTACTATTACTACGCCAACTACTATTAATAATAATACGGTTATTATTATCATTATCATTATTGTCACAATCATTGTTATGTTTACAATCATGATTATCATTATTATTAATAAATACTACTACCACTCTCTACTAGTACTAGTATTTGGACTATTGATATAGTTAATGTTATTAGTATCATTATCACCATTATCATCATTACATATTAATATCAATATTTTTAATTGTTATTACCATAATTGCTTTTACTACGACCATTATCACTGATAATATTACACTAATTATTATCAATATCACTACTCCCTTTTTACATTACAATGTCATTGTTTTTGCAATGCTACTGCTATAACTATTATAACTATCAGTTTTGTTTCTAATCACTTTATCAAATAATCACAGTTGCTATTATCATTTTTATCTATTTACTCCGTCTTGCTCTAACATTATCGGAATAGTTACACCCTTTAATCTACACATTTACTAATTTCCGCATACCCTTTCATTAATTACAACAGTAACGGGTAATATAAATCATCATCGCCATAAGTATGGTATGCTATTTTATATGTTTACAGTACAGCTCCGTCAGCAAAGGGTTTCAGCTCCACAAACGCAACTTTTACACTATAATTGAGAATCCTAACCTGATTTGGCGGTTTCTAAATATGTGTTCTTAATTTTCATTTTTATTTAATTTTATTGTTCTTTAATGGTTCTATTAAAAGCTTAATAAATAATCGTAAGCAATTGTGCTCGTATGTACGTTTTTTATTTCTTTATTACTCTTTTTGTGAACATTTGGCTTGGCTTTATAGTAAAAGAACTATTTAAATGGAGGTATGCTAAGCTATTCACAGATTACTCGTTGGTTTAGAAGTGAAGAAGATGTAAAAGAGGAAGAGAGAGAAGAGAGAGCGGGAGATAGAGAGAAAGGGATGGAGAAATAAAGATAGAGAAAGAGCGAGATAAATAGAGAAAGAAGAGAGATAGAGAGACAGAGAGAGAGGAGAGAGAGAGAGAGAGAGAGAGGAGAGAGAGAGAGAGAGAGAGAGAGAGAGAGAGAGAGAGAGAGAGAGAGAGAGAGAGAGAGAGAGAGAGAGAGAGAGAGAGAGAGAGAGAGAGAGAGAGAGGAGAGAGAGAGAGAGAGATAGATAGATAGATAGAGATAGAGAGAGAGAGAGAGAGAAAGCGAGATAGATAGATAGATAGATAGATAGATAGAGAGAGGTAAATAGATAGATAGATAGAGAGAAGGAGCCACTCACACAGGACGTCGAAGTTGGTCGACGCGGTCATCTCTCCATGGCGGTTCTTGGCGACGCACACGTAATCGCCGGCCCGGTTGCGCTCGATCGGGTAGTCGGTGTTGAGGACGGCGTTGCTCGACACAGCCTCCTCGCCGTGGAACCAGACGTACGTGGCCTCCGGGTAGCTGGAGGCCCGGCACTCGACCTTGGGGGGGACCTCGCCCTCCACCACCTGGATGAACGACTCCGACACGATGATCTCCTCGGGGGGGTCTATGGGGTGAGAAGGGCGGGGGGGGGGTTAGTCATGGATGGTTGTTGGCTTTCCATACTGGCGTCGTTTGATGAAAAAGAAAAGAAATCTATAGCGAATACCTTCTGGAAACATTAACTTTAATTCCATTTCAATTCAAGATCAGTCATTCAGATTTCAGATTTCAAAGGAAAACAGATCTCGGAACACCCTGAAAAATCCCGGACCTCCAAACGATATGGATAAGTATGAACAGACTCACATTCCACTCTGAAATAAGTCCGCGACGAGACCGCTGGGCCGGCGACGTTGGGCGTGGAGGAGCAGGTGTAATTGGCGTTGTCTTGCTCCCGGTCCAGGACGCCCTCGGGCCACCTGTTCATCCTCCAGGTAAGGAAGGACCGCACGCTCTCGAGGTCACTGCGTACGAAGGGAAAGGGAATATGAATGAGTGATGGCGGTCGGTAGTAGTGAGTCGGGTCCCTTTTCATCTAAACAGCAACAAAGGGAAATAAATGTATAATAACGAATGCATCACGCACACCACTCGATGCAAATACGCGAGTGAAGTCGAAAAAGGTTCTCACTCACCCCGACGAAGGATTGGGCGGGATGGTCTCCGTCCTGATGATGTAGTAGGTGTCGTTGTGCAGAGGGACGTCCTCCTTGAACCACTCGATGGAGCACAGCGGCGAGCACTCGACGCGGCACGACAGCGAGACCTCCTCGGCATTCATGAGGGCGCCGTAGTAGGGAGGCAGACGCTCGATGAAGAACGGCGCGGCTGAAGGAGGGCGTCATGGAAGACAGGGTTAATTAACAGCGGAGGTAATTACAAGCTAGCGGGCGGTCTTTAATCAACAAATCTGTAGCTTATGGCAGGCGGGGATAGACTATGCTATGCTAGACTAGGCGGGGGAATATGCAGCGTACTATTATAGAATTGAGGGGCTCGCGCGGCCGGTATGAATATGCTAATACATGTCCCAATAGCATAACAGGGCTATACAAACAGCACAAACATTTCCACCATATACAATAACAAAATAAATCCAAAGATATACCAAACACCATATAAAGAGGCGGTGATACCATCAACAGAGATACACGAGCACCGTTTTCAACGTACCCAGAACATCAATCCTGGTGGTGGCGTTCTCGCCCGAGCCCTCGCTGTTGACGGGGATGCACGTGAACTCGTCCTCGGTCTCCAGGGACACGGGGTCGATGATCCACGTGGCCGAGGTCTCGTCGGGAACGCGATGGGCGCCGCGGTACCAGATGAACTCCGTCGCTTCGGGCTGGCCGGGGTCCTGCACGCTGCAGGTGAGCTCCAGCGAGATGCCCTGGGGGAGAGAGCGGGGTCAGTGGGGTCGTGGCTGGGGGAGGAGGGGGGTGAGTGGAAGAAAATAGATGGAGATACATGGCGGGAGGACAAAGGGAGAGAGAATTGAAAGAGAGAGGAAAAGAGAGGCAGAGAGAGAGAGAGAGAGAGAGAGAGAGAGAGAGAGAGAGAGAGAGAGAGAGAGAGAGAGAGAGAGAAGAGGAGAGAGAGGAGAGAGAGAGAGAGAGACAGACAGACAGACAGGAAAAGAGAGAGAGAGAGATGAGTTTGTGGTTTGAGGTTGCCGATTTCAGCAACACGCATCACCTTAAATTAAACATTGTAATAGGAGAAGCAGTTGAACACAAAAAAAGGAATGTAGAGAACGATCAAAATAAATTCATACAAAAAAAGAAGAATGAAAGAGAGAGAGAGAGAGAGAGAGAGAGAGAGAGAGAGAGAAGAGAGAGAGAGAGAGAGAGAGAGAGAGAGAGAGAGAGAAGAGAGAGAGAGATCCTCACCTTCACAGCCATGGGAGGTCTATAAGCAATGGTGGCTTTTCCCGGAGGATAATGGACCACCAGCTCGGCCTCGTTTGACCTCGCTCCCCACCCGGCGTCGTTCATGCCCTCACACGAGTAGTTGCCCTGGAAGTCCCTGTACACGTTCTCCAGCAGCAGGCGCGAGGGGTCGATGTCGCAGAGGTCAGAATCGCGGTCGTAAAGCGAGTTGTTGCCGTAGCACTCGGGGAGTTCCTTGGGGGGGGGGGGCAGTTCGATCAGTTATTTATTTCTTATTT